TTGCAGGCACACTCTTCTAATTTGCAATCAAGAGTCAGCCTCACCTATGGAGATGTTCTTGCGAAAAGAAATAATTGTGTTCCAGCAACTATATATGCTTCTGTGCTACTACATGTCATAAGACACTGTTCATTATGCATCAAACATGCTCAGCTAACTGCTCAGATGGATTCCCTTGCCATTCCATATGTGGAAGAAGTTGGTCTGCGGACACCATCGTCGAATCTTTGGTTAAGATTACCTTTTGCACAAGATGATTCTTGGAAGCATATATGCTTGCGCCTTGGTAAGGCTGGAAGCATGTCTTGGGATGTTAGGATAAATGATCCACATTTCAGGGAACTTTGGGAACTTAATGGAGGAAGCACCACAACACAATGGGGTGTTGGCATTCGCATTGCGAATAGCTCAGAAATGGATTCACATATCTCATTTGATTCCAATGGTGTTGTTTTAACTTACAACACTGTTGAGGCAGATAGTGTCCAGAAGCTTGTGTCAGATTTACGACGACTTTCAAATGCTCGTTCCTTTGCTCGTGGAATGAGGAGACTGATTGGTGTGAAATTTGATGACAAGCTAGATGACAATCAGTTATCCATGGAGGTGAAATCACAATCTGTTAATAAAGGTAACAGTGATGCTGCTGACAAGCTATCTGAGCAGATGAGAAAGACATTCAGGATTGAAGCTGTCGGTCTAATGAGCTTATGGTTTAGTTATGGCACCATGCCTATGGTACACATAGTTGTTGAATGGGAGATTGCTAAGGGTGGTTGCACAATGCATGTTTCTCCAGATCAGCTTTGGCCACACACAAAGGTTTATCTTCCTTTTCCATTTTTTCCTGGATCAATCACATTGGATGTGTACTTTGGATCTTAAAACATCAAATCTACAGCCATGAATACATTTTGACATTGAAAGTTCACCTGGTTACTTTTTTTTCTCGAACGCGCAGGAGAACTGCGCATCAATATATTAAGAAGAAAGTTCACCTGGTTACTCAAATGCATATTAAGGCTTTTACCTGAAATAATAAAAATTCTATCTGTTTATGCCTTTTTATTGTATTGTGATGTTTTTTCTAAACATTGCTTAACCACTTTGTAGTTCCATCGAACCTCAACGTGCTGTACATTAATTCTGACTGTCAATTTTAATTGGAAATCATGTCTGAACATTCTTCTGTGGACAAAATGACTTTGTGTAGGCTGACATTGTACTCACTGCACAGTTGCATACTTGCTTGCTTTTGCTTTCGCAAGAAGCATTTTTCTTATGCATTTATCCTTTAATAATGGCATCATTATTTTATCGAGTAGTCTGGAAGCATAAATGAGTGCTGGCATTTTTGTTGTTTCACTGTACAATTCCTATGATCTGCTTTACTGGCAGTGCCAGATGGGTCGTTCCAATTGGCTTCCATCCATTCACTACGCTGTTGATAAATAGGTGAAACCTGAGTACAAAAGCTTATGCTCTCTGCTTAGGCATAAAGTTTCTGTGAGATTGCTCAATCATCTTGCAATAAAGTTTGCCTTTATTTGCCTCGTTATCTGATAATCAATCTTGCAAAAATGCAGTTTCTGGAGGATTTCGTGAATGGTGGAGAGGTAGCATCCTTCTTGGATTGCATTCGGCTTACAGCAGGACCATTACTTGCCCTTGGAGGTGCAATTCGTCCTGCAAGGATACCTGTTACCGTTTCATCTGGATATAGCTCTATGCCAAAACAGCCGAACATCCCGGCACAAGGGCCTTTAGCAAATGGTTCATCTTCATCAACCATACATCATGCACCTGTCCCCCCAAATGCTGCAGCTGCCCATTTAGGCAGTCATAATCTTCATGCTGCTGCAATGCTTTCAGCTGCTGGACGGGGTGGACCTGGGCTTGTTCCCAGTTCATTACTGCCTTTTGATGTTTCGGTCGTACTTCGTGGGCCATACTGGATACGCATTATATATCGCAAGAAATTCTCTGTTGACATGCGCTGCTTTGCTGGGGATCAGGTTTGGCTCCAGCCGGCTACTCCTCCTAAAGGTGGACCTTCAGTTGGTGGATCGTTGCCATGCCCACAGTTCCGGCCTTTCATAATGGAACATGTTGCTCAGGGTCTAAATGCTCTTGAACCCAACTTCATGAATGCTACACAGGCTAGTGGACACTTGAATAACAATGCTGGAGCTCCACAAACTGCTCCCAGTGCAAATCGTTTAAGTGCTACCCCCGGTGTTTCTATGTCCAGGCCGACTTCTGGTGTTGCTAACCATGTAGCGGCCAGTTTGAGTCGAGCAGGAAATGCCATGTTGGCTTCTTCGGCTCTTGCTTCTGGTATTAGTGGAGCTTCTGTGCGACTTACTGCTGGAGCTGGTCTCCCTGTTCACATGAAAGGGGAACTAAACACAGCTTTTATAGGGCTGGGGGATGATGGTGGATATGGTGGTGGTTGGGTTCCTTTGGCAGCTCTTAAGAAGGTGCTGAGAGGGATCCTAAAGTACCTTGGAGTTCTATGGTTATTTGCACAATTGCCTGAACTTTTGAAAGAAATACTAGGATCAATCTTAAAGGACAATGAGGGTGCTCTCTTGAATTTGGATCAAGAGCAGCCTGCGCTCCGGTTCTATGTCGGGTAAGAAAATATAAACTGGCAAAGTATCCTTTGTTTTCTAGCATCATATTTAAAGTCTATGTTATTCACTTTTTCCACTGCACAATTAAGATTCAGGATCTACACTATTCACTGGCAAAGTATCCTTAATTTCTGTTCATGGAAGTTTTGGTTCTTAGCGATATTGAGTTCCCTGACCTTTTCCCCTAAAAAAAAAGAGTTCCCTGACCTTTTGGAAATAGTACTTTATTATGCTTATATCTGCCCTTCGGATTATATATGCATTCATCTATTTTACATGTTACAGATGTGCGTCGAATATGTACTGTGGTATTTACTGATACCTTAAGACTATACTTCATACTTCATTATTTACTGAATATAAGCGGTGTTCTTTTTATTTAATTTGGTGCTATCAGCCTGTAATTGGTTGAGCTTAGGCCAGAGTTATAAGATGAGAAATTGCTAGTGTCAGGTGTCAGCAGTTCAAAATGACCCATCTTTCTTGTCTTTCCTTTGAGTTGAGTATTTCCATTTGGGACTGCCAGTAAATTGGTTCCTGATTTCATATTGCAGAGGATATGTATTTGCAGTAAGTGTCCATCGCGTTCAACTGCTTCTACAAGTCTTGAGTGTGAAAAGATTTCACCACCAGCAACAGCAGCAGCAAGCTCATAGCAATGCTCAGGAAGAGCTAGCAGCTGCTGAAATCAATGAAATATGTGACTACTTTAGCAGGCGTGTTGCCTCCGAACCATACGATGCTTCTAGAGTTGCTTCTTTTATCACTTTGCTTACATTGCCAATTTCGGTACTGCGTGAGTTTTTAAAGCTGATTACATGGAAGAAAGGTCTCTCCCCAGTTAACGGGGACATTGCTACCGCTCAGAGGGCTCGGATCGAGCTTTGTTTGGAGAATCACTCAGGATCAGCTGCAGCTGATAACACAGAGAACAGCACTTTAGCCAAGAGTAATATTCATCATGATAGAGCCCACAGTTCAGTAGAATTTGCCCTGACATTTGTACTTGACCATGCTCTCATTCCTCACATGAATGTAGCTGGTGGAGCTGCCTGGCTTCCATATTGTATATCTGTGAAACTTCACTATTCTTTTGGGGACAACAATCATATAGCTTTCCTTGCTATGAATGGGAGCCATGGTGGGAGAGCCTGCTGGTTGCAGTTTGAGGAGTGGGAAAGATGTAAGCAAAAGGTTTCAAGAGCTGTGGAAACTGTGAATGGGTCTGGTGTAGCTGGAGAGGTGGGCCAAGGAAGGCTGCGAATGGTTGCCGAGATGATCCAAAAGCAGCTTCAACTCTGTCTACAACAGCTAAGAGATGGCCCACTTTCTGCAGGCTCTACTGCATCATGAGCTTGCTTGGAATGAGCTTGCTTGTACAAGGCCATTGCTGATGAACCGTCTGTCATATTCAGCATGGCCTTTGGCTTTGTTAACGTGCAGATGTAAAGGTGTTATCACATTTGGTAGCAGTGACAGTTTCTCAGCCTGAGGCTTGCTCAGATGACAATTTTGTACAGTATAAATGTGTCGGTTGACTCTTATGGACCTTTACTTAGCCCATTTGAAGGTGTAGTCTGTAACATAGCTAGGGTGGGTAATAATGTATCAAGGTGCAGTTGCTCACAGGGATGCAAAAGGATCTTGGGTAAATGGTTGTCTGTATCACCTACTGCTGTAATCGTGTTCCTTCTTTTCTTTTCTTTTCCCTTCCCTTTCTGATGGATAGTTCATTTAGGAGTCGTTATCTTTCTTCTGTCTGTAGGGTGTTAATCTTAGACATGGGTGGATCTGGTATGTGTGGTGTTGTACATGATAAATTGGCACTGGACTTGGGACTGACGCATTTGACATTCCCTTAGCAGGACATCTCTAGTTGTGTTTACAATGACTGGGGGCAGCAAAATATATTGCTTGGAGCTTGTTTCAACGTTCTGTTTTCTATTGCTTCATCTTAGTAAATGATGTTTCTGTAGTTAGTATGTTTAAATCTGCTCCAAGTTGATGCCTGGATGGCAGGATAGATAAGAGGATGCTGTCTTGTCGTAGTATTTCAAATTTCTAACTCGTGGCTGGGAAATTGATGTTGCGAGCACTCTTGCCATGAGTTTGTTTGAAACAGATACTTATGAATTGGTGGTAACCAACGGCCGGTTACCGTGTCCTGCTCATCGAACATGTGCTTCTTGTGATGCTTTCGCGGTTACAATAACGAACACATTTGATCTCATCACGAACCATGATGAGATGCCAACACACCTTGGTATGAGTATGATGCTCATCTGATTACTGACATCATGCTTATACATACGTAATTAACAGTTCTCAACTTCTGGGAAAAAAGAAAAATTTTGGTTCCATAATTCACAACCAGCTGTCCGGAAGGTCGATGTTCTGGAACGTAAACGACGAATCCCTCGAGTCCTTGCTGGCGAGCCCCGACCCGTCGAGGTCGTCCACCGCTACGTCGAGCCCCGATGGCAGCAGGAGCACAGGAGGTGCCGGCGGCGGCTTGTCGACGTCGGCGTCCTTAGGCAGCGCCGCGGCCAGGTCGCGGTCCCACATGAGGAAGTGCAGCGTGATGGGGCGGAGCGCGTGGCAGTGCAGCGACAGCTTCTGGCTCAGCGACACGGTGTCGAAGCACTTGACGTTCCCGGCGGTGGACACCATCCAGGGCAGCACCTTCTCGCCGCCGACGCGGGACAGCACCAGCAGCTTGGACGCCCTGCGCGCCGCGCGGTGCAGCTCCAGGAGCCCCGACCGCGCCGACGCCACGCCCGGCGTGCCCTCCTCCGCCACCGAGGAGACGTAGATGAACCCTTCCTCGGTGCGGCTGATGGCGAACCCCAGACGCGTGTCGCCCTGGCGCAGGTGCAGCTCCAGCGCCGCCTCGCCCGCCGCCGGCGTGTACCACAGCCGCACGGCCCGCACCACGCCGATGTCCACACCGTGGTAGTCCTCGAAGCCGTACAGGCTCGCGTTCGCCATGCCGGCCAGGTCCGACAGCGAGGCCATGTTCACAGTTGACACCGCTGTCTCGCCGGAGATCTTGGTCAGCAGCGCCTCCGTCTGCACGTTCATGAACACGACGGGCACGCCAGAGGCCTGCGACGACAGCAGCCACGCGTCCGCGCGCGCCAGGGTGTCCTCCAGGGAGTTGTACCGCGTGTTGGACCCGTCCGTCGCCTTGGGCAGCAGCAGCAGGGAGAGGAAGCAGCTCGCCTCCGGCACTGGCAGCAGCTCCCTCATCTTCTTCTCCCACGGGAAAGGCTCGTACGCGTGGCTGATCTTGGCGTCGCGCAGCGCAGACAGCAACTTGCTGTTCTTAGAACCTTATAAACATAGCATATTGATATTGATCAGGGCAAGTATTCATCGATTAGTTATAAAAAAATATCAGAGTCAACTATTTTGTAAAAAATTCAGACTGCAGTACAAGAGGTAGTGTTTCTTTTTGGAATCCTGCACATTCCAACTGTTTGAGGTCATGACCATCAGCCACTTGACAAGACTGTTGTATATATAAGCCAATTTGCAACCTAGGTAGTATATTCATATTATGCATGATAATGAAGATAGAAAACCGTGCAAAGAATCAACAGAAAAATGCAACGATGGAACAAGCCTTGGATCCAGGATCAACAAGTACTAAAATAACCCACAAGAAGCCGACCACAGGTAATCCAGCATAATAGATGTAGTCTTGGTACTTGCATTGATACTTCGACGTTCACAATGTCACCGAGCTCAAAACATGCTTTATTATTATAGATACAAAAGCCAAATTCTCATTCCTACTCTCCAAATTGTTTTTTTAAAAACAAAAACTTTAGTAAGTGCATGAGTGTCTGCATCTATACTATGAGTCCCAAAAAAAAGTATAAGGTTATCTGTTTGTCATAATCTTTTGTTTTAGATCATGCCTTCACTTTTACCTGCACTGCCAAGTGTAGGAGCACATAAGACATTTTGCCCCTGTAAGAAAGGGACTGACAAATGGATGTGGACTGCTGCCGAAGCAGTAGAAGCCACCAATTCGGTATCATGGGTCCCGAGGTGCTGTTATTATGCTCTAGAACCTTAAAAGAGCTGGCAGAAATAAAAGGCCACTACCTCCTTGTTAGACTTTCTGAGCTGAGAAAGCAGCAAGAGGGAAAGAGACTTATTTGTCATGCCCAAATAGTTTCACACGGGACAATAACAACATCATAAGAAGCGAGAGTTTGTTTCAGTTTTCTCCTGCGGTACGCAGTAAAATTTGCAAGATGTTCAGGCCTATCTCTCCCTCTAGTCTCTCCCTCTACGGAAGATTAAACTGCTTCTAGCTAGCAAGAAAGATTGACAAGGTCATGCAACTTCCAAGAAGATGACCCTAGCTCTCTTTGATTTCTTCTAAACTAGATACAGAAATGACAGATGTTACGGACCACAATATATAAATTCCTACATCCTTGTCGTGAGTACATGACCAATTTATGATTAAAGAAAGGCATTATTATTATTAAGTTTAAGAGCCTTGGAAATATCAGCATCCAACAAGGCCATGACAACCCAATAGCGAGCTAAAGGTTGTTGCGTTGCGTAACTTAAAAATAGAAGTGGAACAACTGTATATTTGTTGCATTCAACTTGTGCAATTTACAGTTGAACTCCTCATTTTCCAAATTGAATGCCGAATCTTTATCAAATGCGGCGATTCAGATTCAGTTGTGAGAATGAGAACGAAATTACACTCTCTTTAGCTCTAGTATTACGCAATGTCACTGTCTTAGTTCTAGGCTTGCCAAATCCCCAAAACAGCGACTGAAGATAGATTAGAAAAAGTGCAGAATTCAACAAAGCAGCCCATCATGTGCTCAGCTAATATATGCCTAAAAGATCCGCTAAATTTCGCTGGAAAAAAAAAAGAATCCACCAGATGCGATCAACCGAGCAAATTTCGTTGAAAACAAGGAATCAGAATCACGCGCGTCTCACTCACCGTCGAGCTCGAAGCTCTCGCGACTGGACCGGTCGCCGTCGCCGCCGCGCCGGCCGGCCCGCCCCCCAGACGGCGTGCGGCCGCTGTTCGCCGCCGAAGACGACGACCGGCTCAGCTGGTCCGCCTCGTCCCCGCTACTCGCCGAGGCGGAGTCCCCGCGCTTGAAGGCCGACCTGAGCAGCCTGTGCATCCTGCCCCCGCCCTTGGCCGGCGGCGGCGCGGGGTCGGCTTGGAGCTCGAGCGGCGCCAGCGACGGCGGCTCCGGATGGTCGCTCGGCATGAGCAGAGCTCGATGAGAGGTTCTTGGCGCTGCCGGTTGTGCGTGGGAATTGGAGGGAAGACGGACGGGGACACGAGACGAGAGCAGAGAGAGGCGATGATGCACTGGTGATTTATACAGATCAGAATGGAAACAAGGGAAAGCCCAGTTGGGCTGTGTTTCAATTATGCTAAAATAGAATAGAATAGAATAGAATAGAATGGCCCTGGCTGAATGGTGGGTAGTTCGCGGTGGCATTTTCATTATTTTATTTTATTTCCTCCACTCTTACAAATATACGCTGTTTTAGATTCTTGTTGGTCAAGTTTTTCTTTCAACTTTGACCATCAATATGTCTTCATCATATTTCATTACCTTTGTTTAAAGTGGCATTTATGGTAAAAGTTTCTTATTGTTGACACGCCCTAAATGCCATGTATTTTGCCTAGTACTAGTACAGTATATATTTTTCCTAATATATATATTTTTTACTTATAGGGATATACTTATTTTTCATATACAACACAAGATGCCCCTTTATCTTTATCTAATTGGAACCGTTATTTTGTTAAAAATTGTCCAAATTCCAAGCCATTGCATCTAACACAACTACTGTAATCGTTCACAAGTTTGCAAACCTTAGGGAAAGGTTGAGGAAACAGAGGACGTGCTCGCCCAGGTTGCCGCTAATGCAACAAGCGCAACCGATTAGGCTGGGAATATGGCAATAGAGTAGTCTGGTGAGGATGCAATGGTGTTGTGGCCCCAAGTGGCCCTCATCATCTTTGATGTGGGAGGCGAGGCGTGGGGCGAGCCACCGCCGAGCCCCTGGCGTGCTCGAGGTCAAGCTCCTCGAGCAGGCAGTGGCCAAGCCCCTACCGTGGGTGAGGTTGAGCTCCTTGAGCGAGTAGTGGTGCTTCTTTCGACTCCGAGCGAGAGGATGAGAAGGAACATATTGATATGTATGGAAGATGACATGTGGGCCCAAGTTAACTGTGACTAATGGTATGAAAAGAGTGTTCCTCGTCCCCGTCTCTTCAATCCCTGTCAACCAAATAAAAAAGATGAACGACCATATCCCTCCGACCAAACACCTAGAACCATCGTATTCCAAAAAAACAGAAATAGAACCGTTCTATCTCCCGTATCCAACAACCAAATACACCCTTTACAGTGAACTGACCAGCTAAGCCCCTCGTTAGCTTAGTTGTGGGGTCGCTTTACTGCGTCTCTTAATAAAATGCACGCTCAGGTGCATTCGCCATAAAAAAAACATCTGCTAGTTTTCCCTGATCCTGTTTGACGACTACATCGAGTATGGTCCGTTCTATTCTTTTTCTTTCCATGAAACTTCTGTTTCTCAACGAGAAATACAAGTGCTGTCAGTTTTCATGGAATATCTGATCACTTTTAATTGGTTTGTGCTCGTGCATGTGCATCTACTTGCAGATTCGTTCTTGACTTCTTCTAGGCATAGCAACAATTTTTTCTTTTTTCTTTTGTCTGTGTACATCTAATAATAACTCCGGAGTCGCAAGTCGCAGCTACGTACAGGACCTGGTGGGTGGGCCCTTTTGACTCGTGCAAGTCAACATTGCGCGACCATAGCATTATTAGTTGCCAGTGGTCCCATATTGGAATATAATTCTTGTAAATTAACCAGAAATTTGTAGACCTCTTTGGGTATTTAAACTTGCCATTACCGACTGCTTTCTCTGTTTTTTTAAACGCAGGAGAGCTGAGTTTCATTGTATTAAAGAGAAATGGTGGTCCTCAACAAGATCCTCGCTCATACGGGAACCAAATATAAGTGAGACAATTACATAGACTCAAAACTTTTCCACATAGCTAACACACACAGCTCAACCGCCCTATATTGCAAAAGTAAGTTCTAACCCCTGCATTTCTTAGCACCAGCCATGCACCATAAGGCGTGCTCATCCTTCAGTTCACACAAAATTGTGTTAACTGAAGGAGAAACCCCTCAAACACACAAGCATTTCTATGTTTTCAAATAGTCCAGACGCCAAGAATAATTAGAGTGTTCACTCCTTTTTTGTGCTCCTTTTTAACTCTTCTCATCGTCTTGCGCCACCAATCTGCAAAGCTCCTTTCACTTTGTGGTGGGGGGGGGGACTAAATTGTTAGCTCCAACGGATGAAGCAATCTGAATCACACTTGTCTTGTCACCACGCACGTTGTTAATAGGTGTTGTATCGTCTCATCTTCTTGATCACATAGAGGGCATTTATCCGGATGAGAGAGGCCCCTCTTAGCAAGCCTATCTGTTGTCCAACATCTGTTTTTGATTGCCAACCATAGAAACATTTTACATTTAGCTGGGGCCCAGGTCTTCCATAATCAACGCCAAGGCTCGAAGGTCACAGCACCAAAGGAATAGGCTTTATAGGCAGATTTGGAGGAGTACCATCCGCTAGCATCTAGCCTCCAAATGTGACGATCCTCTTGATCAGTCAAAACAATTTCTACGAGGCAGTCCCATAACTGTAGGAATTCTCTAATACCAACCGACTGCTTTCCCTATAGAAAGAAATACCTCATTCGATTCAAACATGCTTATAATCTATTGGAATGTGATTCTATTTCCCATGATTAAAGCTTGGACTCTCAGTTGCCTCATACAAAAATATGGCAAATACTAAATCAAGTATTTCTATTTAGTAAACATTATGTTTTTGTTCCTTGAATCTCTTATATTTCAGGACAAATTTAAAATGTCAGAATGCGCTATATTACAGGATGGATGAAGTCTAAGCTGACACATCGTATTGATAGATAGGCCCCGTTCACTGGTCTGAAACTTGACTGAAAAACACTGTTTCGGCTGGTTTGTTGTGAGAGGAAAATACTGTTCGGCTGGTTTGATGAACAGTAACTTGAGAGGGGTTCCAGCCGGCTGGCTGGTCTCGGTCAGACCAGCGAACGAGCCCATAACTTCAATAATATTCTAATAAACAAAACTATACACTACACATTGCAATTTTTAGGATGTCTAGCAACATCTTTATTTCTTACATAGACATTATTTGTAGTATATTGATAGCCCAATGGAAAAAAATTGTTTTGACAACCAACATGTATTTTGAATCAGAATAGGTACGTTTTGTTTTAACCCTACTATACTAGTAATCAATGCACTTTATCCTATGGATAAACATGATTTGGTATGAAATTCACACCTCAAACTGAGGCATCAGGGACTATCAGCATCAGGGCATTTTGGTCTAGCTGAAATTCTTGGAGAATGATAGTATCAAGTTTAAGAAAGCTCAGTTTAAAGAGGGACCAGCAGCATGTACGGACTCTATCTTTGACATTCCAAGAGTTCCTTCTGTTCAGAATCCCTGCGTTGCTACGAAATTGCATACCAAACTTGGAATCTCCAAAAGACACTAATTACTAGGGTCAACCGACCGATCAACACACCATACCTAGCGTGAAATATGGTCCAAATCTGCTGTCTTAGCTTAGACTTCCAAGAACATACTCATCAGTCATCACTTACTTTGACCCTCCAAATTTTGCCGATAACATTCCATTTCTTTGCAATTATATAGTTCGATAATTTTTTCGAATTCGGAGGATCAACCCACGTTGTTTCCAGAAATCAGTAATTATAAATCACTGTATGCAGGATCATATGTCAACTGGAGTATTTGCTATGTGTAATGAACAGAAAAAAGAAGGCTCAAACCTAATTAATAAGCAATTTCACACAAGACGACCTTAAATATTACTTCCATTCAAACTGATAAATTACCTTTATCAGTCGGACTTGTAGGAGACGAGCTCTTCAGCTTAGGAACACTCTTGGATCGTTTCATCCTCCAATCCATGCAGACGAATTGATCAGCTTCTTGCCTTCTTGGTTTGGCTTCGTTTGAAACGAGCTGAACTGAAGCAAGTTCCTCTGGTTTTACAAACAAGGAAGGGTGGTCATGCAGAGCTAGAGCCAAGGTTCCTTGTCTCAGGGATGGTCTTAATTAGTATGCCTTTGTATATACCAAGAAGCTTCCAAGACCAAGAGCAAAATCCCATTACTTCCAATGCAACTCGTTTGTCTGAAGATGAGAGCTTGCTTCTACATTGTTCTGGCTTCCTGATAGAAATGCACTGGAATGATGGCGATTCAATTGATAAGATAAACCAGATTTATTTATTTTTTTGCTGCCTTCACAGGCCATAGTTGACTAAAACCGAGTAACTTATCACAAGGTTGATGGAGACAAGAGCAGGGCTTACAAGGACAAATTGAGTTTCTGAGAAACTTACAATTCTGCTTTCCAATCCGCGTCTTTTTCAGAGTCAGATTACAAGTATTACCAGATAACTGTAGACAAATAAGCACGTATTGGCAGAGCTCCTGCCTTTGTTTCAAAAAAAAAAATAAGCACATATTATTGTCAATCCAATCGTACATACTACAGTATTTGCCAAACCAAACAGATCACAAATTTGGGCATCTGCATATCTTACAGTCCAACTGCTAGACTATAGACTCCATGTCCTTGGTGGAGTCTTCAAATTCTAGATCTACCAGTGGGCAGTGGCATGTTCTTGAAAAGAATGCGATAGCAATACAAATTGTAACCATCATAAATGTGTAGCACAACTTGTGGTAATTGGAGAGTCCACTTTGTTGATTGGCAGGATCCATGGCACCGAGATTCAGTCTTCAAGGACAGTTAAATAATTTACATCATCCACTTTCAGAACATCATTGCGACTCATCAAAGAACACAACTACTAGGATGCAACTAGTATGCTTCTATGGAAGAGATGTAGCAAAAAAAAAACATTTTTTCCTAATGTCAAAAATTGTGGTCTCCAATGACGGATAATTGCATTTTCGGGACCAACCAGTGATAGATCCTTAACATGCAGGCAACATGTCTCAAAGCGGCTCTAGTTTGGTGTGCACCTTCTGCAAGTGGAATGTTTAGATTAGGTCAGCTGCATGAGTTGTCAAATATACATGACAAAATTAATTGTTTCAGCTTGTGTAGTAGCCACATTATGTGGTGGTAGGAGCTGCAAATGCTTAACACCAGTATAAAATAGTGAGACCAGAATTTAGTACTGTTATAGAAGGCAAAGTCAATAACAGGTATGGACTATGGAGCTAGCAAAAATTCCACTTGGATTTGCCTTGGAAAGTGCAGCTAGATGCAAGATCCCTCATGGAATGATGGAACCTGAATTTCCATTTTTTTATGTATGACTGGGTGCTTCCTTTAAAAACATTCAGGTGAAGTAATTTCAATATTGCGGAAGAAAACTGCAGAGCACAAATATGTTGAAGTGGAAAGGAGAAACAACATAGCAGGACTTTTGGCTATGTTCCTTTTCATATTATTTTACTGCCTCATGGCTAAATATTTTGTCCATGTATTCCTTTATCTAAGAGAGCGACTATAAGCCCGGTATATTATTACACTTAGTTGACCTTCCATAGGAATTTTTTTTTTCATAAAAATATATCAAGAGACCTATGATTTGCGGACTCTGAAAACACGACTATGATTGTTAGTATCTTTTTAAAAAGGGAGAATTGTCTGTTGGACATCCAAAGTGATGGTTATCTGCTGGCGGACACCCCGTTTTGAGTAGTTTGCCAGAAGACACTCTGGTTCGGTGAAATTAGACCACAGGACACCGTAGACCGGTTGCAGCCGGTTGAGGAGAGAGAAAATTTCGTTTTGGACATCTGGTGCCCCTGAGCCACAGTTGGGTCCGCCCCTCTCCCTTTCACTTACGCGCGGGCCCCACCTGTCATCTTCTTCTTCCTCCTCTTCTCCTCTTCTCTTCTTCCATTGCTGAGCAGCCACCGCCGTCGACCAGCCCCGGCCCCGCAGGCGCATGGACGAGTTGGCGAGCTGCCGCAGCCACGGCCATGCGGGCTTGCGGGCGAGCTGGCGAGCCTCTGCCGTGACCACGAGCGCCACGTGCGAGCAACCGCCCTCGCTGCTGCTGCCGGCGATAGGAGCGCCGCGGTGTCCGCGCCCACGCCCCCGCGCGCCGACCCTACCCCGCCGCCACCCGGCGCAGCCGGCTCTGCCCCGCCTCCCACGGCCCCTTCCTCGCCGCCGCCCTCCCGCCCCGCCACTTCAGACCATTTGCGTCGCGCGCGTGGGACCTGCTCGGCGCCGCCATCGTGGCCCACTGAGAGAGAGAGAGAGAGAGAGAGAGGGGGAGGAGCACGCACGCTGCCCTGTGGTACGACGATCGACCATGGGAGCATGGCTCATCGGCGAGGTGGGGGGCGTGGCTGTTGAGCATCATGCAGGCCCGAGGCGCGAGGCCGGGCGCTGGCCGAGGAGGCGCTGGTCTGGGCGCCAAGCGGACGTCGGAGGCGTGAGGCCAGGGCGCGGGGCGGGCGCCGAGCAAGGAGAGAGAGAAAGGTGCGAGAGGCGGAGAGGGGTGGGTGGGACAGAAATAGAAAAAAAGAGAAAGGGAGAGAGGAAGAAGAAAGCGGCAGAGGCAAGAATGTCATTTCACTGTTGTTCTCTCTCCTCAACCGGCTGCAACCAATCCGCGGTGTCCTCTGGCCTAATTTCACCGAACCAGAGTGTCTTCTGGCAAAATGCTAAAAAGTGGGTGTCCGACAGCAAATGACCATTACTTTGGATGTCCAACAGATAATTCTTCCTTTTAAAAATACATAACTAGCTATTCACAAACCATTATTCATTTCCTACCTAAGTGTCCTTAGATTTTTATTTACTTATAGTACTTTCTATTCTATTGCAGCTTATTTGAAAATCAAACTTGCCATATTGACTAAATATTTTAAGAAATTATCTTGGTTTTGAATTAGACCGAGTTTCATTATCATCCTACCTGTAGCTGAACTGCTGAAGTCACGCAGGAATAATGAATGGATACTGTTGTCTTGTTTTGTGTATCTGCACCATATCAAACAGATACATAAGCATCATCATCCTTATATTTCTTCACCAAGGAAGAGATAGAGATAGCGACACTAGATATTCTTTAAGGTATTGCTTTCCAGGTTTTCAGCAGGGGGAGAGGGATATTCTTGCAACTTTTTTGAGGACCTTGAAAGATCCACTCGTGTATGGAACTTTGGAGGGAACCTCAGTACCTCACTTTGGATTATGTGCATCTAGAAGATTTTACTTGGAAGAGGGTAGAAACAAGGGGCTCCTCTTGGACAGTTCGCCAGACAATATCGGTTCTTGATTATTTTTTTCCAAAAAAAAAAAATCCTTCTACCTGTTAATCCTTATCTGAATGCAGACTAGTACTAATGAAGTAAGAGGCTTTGGTTCGACTAATTTCAGAGAAGGCCTTTCTTGAGGTTAGTACCAAAAACAAAACAAAAAAATAAAACAGGGAGATGCTCCAAGCGAAGCCTTTTATGGGATTTGACATGTATTCGAGTAAATTTAAAGATGAGCAGCTCTCCTTGTTTGAGGAAACAAGGAGGAGGAAATTTAAAGAGAAGCAGCGCTGCTCTTTTCTTTTTTTTTTCTTTTTTTTTTTGCGAATTACACGAGTACAGACAAACACGATTAACACGCACACACATTCACCTTTATAAACATACGTACACAATTCCTACCCCTATGAGCACATTCGAAAGACTGTGCCAGCATATCTCAAGATTAACGAAGTCACCACAAACGCCTCGCTATCGACGAGAACGTCGCCTGTCACTAAAAGCACAACGTTGTTAAATCTTAAAATAAATCCAGAAAAATACAAACACCCGTGCCAAGTCGAAGACTTGAACCTGGATGGACAGGTTCCACCATAAAAAACCTAGCCAACTGGTATTAATCAACAGGAATGCACAAGGGTGAAGACGGTTTTACAGTATTAACAGCAGGACGGCACGGTGTTTAGACTTCAAAGCAACCCAGAATGAGTAAAAACACATCCTGAATCTATTTGACATGCTCTTTTTCTGACCCATAATAAAGCCTAAAGGGATTTGGCCAAATATTAGAACAAACAGTCTTGCTTTTGGATAGTCTGTTGGGACCAGATTTTCTGCCATCAGTGTTTCCGGAGACAGGATCAAGTACATAGTAGAAAATGCATGGGCGGCGTTTGGATCGTGGCCTTACCTGGGGGCTCCTGCCCAGGCGCTAGTCCAGCGCATTTCCTAGGTCTCGATCCAAACAAGCCCATAGTTCAAGTTTGTGCAAACAATATAGCAAACTGACAAGGTTAACTTGCAAGTATTTGAAGGGAAGGATTCTTAATGACTGCACTATATCACATAATCAGATACAAAAAGGACGGTCCAGATAGTTACAGTGTATATGAGTTAACTGTTCCTGTAGACTTTCTCATCTTTACTTCCAAGATATAGGAGTAATCAGAAACTCAGACTACCAGAAAGGACATGGTACATTACCATGCTTAGGAGGACATACAACATGTTGCCTTGGATGTAGGGGGTGGCTCTTGACCAGGGACAACAATCTTTGTTCCTTTCAGTAAACTCGAATTTCCACTAGAATCAGACTCCTCATTGGCAACAAGGTTTTTCTTGCTGGCAATCCGGTAAATCTCCGTCAGTACAGTCACGAAAGCATTTTCAACATTGATAGCCTCAAGTGCAGAGGTCTCCATGAAGAAGAGGTTCTCACGCTCAGCAAACTCTTTTGCATCCTCAGTTGGGACAGCACGAAGTGTTCCCAGATCAGATTTGTTACCAATAAGCATGATAACAATGTTCTTATCAGCATGGCCACGTAGTTCCTCAAGCCACCTAGCCACATGATCAAAGGACTGGCGCTTGGTTATGTCATATACTAACATAGCTCCAACTGCACCCCTGTAGTAGGCACTTGTTACTGCTCGGTACCTGTTACCACATTCAGTTGAGGTTTAGATATCAGTAGTCTAAAGGTCTACATAATGAGATAGCATAGATGAACTAATGAAGTAAGGGACTCCCTCCACCTTTTTTTATTTTATGCATTAGGAGTGAACAATGTCTCTTTTTGCTTACTTTTGATAATACATAATCTAGAGAACAGACAAAAGTAACTCTTCTAATGTCCCTAGCAGCCTAGAATGTAGTATGATACAGACTAAATATCTTTGTTCAATGGTTACTAACACTGAAGATAGATGATTCAAGAGACAAACGAAACAATTTTGACATCACATATTCTTTTTCTTATCTGTGTTCGAAAATCTAAGCTACTAAAGAAAAAAACAAAAGTGAGAGTAAATCCATCAAACTTTTTCTAAAATATCCCTAAAAAAACTTATGCGAAGATACCAGTATAACATTTAAAAGTTGGTCTTGTGATGCAACCGTGATTGTTTCAGGTTTGTAATGGGGCTTACAGCATTGTATCTTATTCTGTACCATTCCCTTCAGTCTACACTATATAAATGGCTAGACCTATTACTACTACTCTATTACATGCCAAAAGTCATGACTACTGGAAGTAGAACAAAGTTCAGTTTCTAGCTCTCCATTGAAAACAGAGGATACACCTATGGACACGGATTCTGTGCACCTAAGTGAACAAATTCCCCTTACCTAGTGCATGCATTGTGCTAAATCATGTGTTTGTTCAAAATTTAATGTTGAACATTTAATGTTGAACGTATATGTGTGCACTAAGATATTGGTGTATGCAATCAGGCTCACATTTTCTTTTCCCCTATATTCCTATTGGATTTATCTATGAGAAAACATTTACACTGTAATATTGACTACATGAACAACTGATTCCTTGCTGTACTGAAACATAGCTCAGTTGGAAAAACTAGTGCATATCAGGTAGCGCTGGGTATATTTTGCTTCATATTTACCCTGAATCATTTGGTTCGTTTAGCCTTGACCTCAAGCTACATTCACATGTCAATTGGGACGTGTTGCTGGAGCATTTTAAGTTCCCACATGATGCTGAGGGAAAGCTAATTTGACTCTCCACTGAGCACAAATATTTTAATTTCTAGCTGGCATAAACTTGGTAATGACGAAAGTTTCTCTCTTTCCAAACACCTAACCTATCTAAGCAAGGCTAGCAAATCATTAGATGAATACAAGATGCAGTGTGGTATAAAAGACACATAAACATTCATGACAGTATTTCCCCCCATCTTTCAAGCACTAGTTGTAGTAATACTGTTAGCACACAACTAATCTTTTAAGTAAAATATTTTACGGCCAGCTTCCACTGCTTGTTAAATTCATTCAACGTAAAGTGAGCTGTTATCTCAACAGCATCTATCTTTTTATCCAAAGCAAGAAATCCAAATGATGACAAACCTCTTTTCCAGCGATTTCACCAATTTATCATTGTACAATCGCTGGACATGGAAAACATAAGATCCCTTCCAACATACAGTCTCACCATTCCAAGGCCATTTCGCAAAACAAAGATTATCGGGCAGTAGTATTATGTATAGGAAACATACCCCCTCCATCTCAAAATAAGTCAAGCTATGGAAACGTGCTAGTCAAACTTTCTCGACTTTAACTTGGTTTGTAGAAAATATTAGCAACGTTTACATCTCAAATAAATTTATTACGAAAATATATTCGACAATTCATCTAAGGATACTAATTATGAACCATAAATATTAATATTTTTTTATATATGTTGTTCAAAGTTAAAAATATTTATTTCGCAGGGAGTGAGAATGACACTTATTTTGGGATAGAGGGAGTACATAATAGAGGAATTATTACGTAAAAAAGCAACACACAAAACTATCGTCAGTTCTTGGATCAAGATGTCATTTTATTTTTGTCTAAGTTTATCTGTTTTAACTTTAGGGATGGATGGATCCATTGATTACCGACCTTTCCTGGCCTGCGGTGTCCCAGATCTGTGCCTTGACGGTGCGGGCGTCGATGTTGAGGGTGCGCGTCTGGAACTCGACTCCGATGGTGGCCTTGGAGTCGAGGTTGAACTCGTTGCGGGCGAAGCGGGCGAGCAGCTGCGACTTGCCCACAGCGGAGTCGCCGATGAGCACCACCTTGAATACGTAATCGATCCTCTGGCCCAGCTCCCCGTGGCTACCGCCCCGAGACATCTCTTCTCCCCCTCCTCTCCCCCTTTGTCCCCAATCTCAATTTCTCTCTCTCTCTAGAATCGTTTTCTCCTATCCAAGAACGATGCCCTTCCTCTCTCGACTAATCCCGAGTTGGAGGAAACTAGGATCTTGGCATCAAGAACGGGAGTTTTTGACAAGGTTGGAGAAGAGGAGGAGCAGGCGGTGGAGTCTGTGATGATTATTATCGGGAGTAGAAGCAGCCAAGAGGTGTAATTGATTCGATTGATTAATAATAATGTTAAATTATAGGGGAAATGTTGAAGTGGTCAACAGAGGGAGGGCACGGGCACGCAAACCAGGACGAGGTGGTCATTAGCAAAAACTAAATGGAAGGGCACGACGAAGGTACATGAGCACGAGCGCACGACCATGTTCAGCCGTCAACGGCCCTCTCCCGTCATATTTACTCCAAAAGAATACCATATTTCCGCCCTCGACTCTACGTGGATCCGCCCTAAACTCTATATGGGTCCATTATTCAATACTTTACCTTAAAATTGTTTCGAATCCTAAGCTTCAACGATAGTTTGTACTTACTCTGTTTCAACTTATAAGTCAATTCTAAATTATAAGTTACTTTAATTTTTTTTAATACATAGATTTTGTTACGTATCTAGACCTACGTTATATCAAAATACGTAGCAAAATTTATATAAAAAAGTCAAAAGCGATTTATAATTTATAATGACGAGAGTTTTGAGCAATAGAAGAGGAGGCAACTTGCCTTCGCATGACTTAGAAAATGGATAATGGATCATAGCTATGATATTTATATTTGGTATTTATGCTCATTTTCTCCTTGAATCATCTTACTGTGTCTTAATGTTCTTTGAAATTCATAAGCCTAGTTTTGGTTTCTCCTCATGTGGATGTTGCGAATGCCGATCATTCAGCAGTGAAAGGATCAAGATGTCCAAGAGAGGAAGTGAATTGGGCTAATTCTAAATTTCTTTATAATAATTAAATCATATGGTTAGCCCAATTAACCCCTTGTGCCTAAAAAGTGTTTCTAATTGTTCTACCGCACAAAAGACTTGCAACCTAAGTTCTAATCCTACTCTAGCATGACAATTCTATGAATGTAAAGACAAGAATTGAATTGTTCAAAGTAACTGCTCAAAGTGAATAGAGAAGGAGGAACGCGGCGATGTTTTGCCAAGGTATCGGAGAGTCGCCACTCCCCAGTAGTCCTCGTTGGAGCACCCGCGTAAGGGTGTAGCTCCCCCTTGATCCGCGCAAGGATCAAGTGCTCTCTACGGATTGATTCTTCGACACTCCGTCGCGGTGAATCACCCACAACCGCTCACAACTTGAGTTGCGTCATCCATAAGCTCTCCAGATGATCACCAAGCTCCCAATCACCACCAAGCCGTCTAGGTGATGGCGATCACTGAGAGTAACAAGCACGAACTCTCACTTGACCACGATAAGCCTAATGAGAAGGGTGGATGCACACTTTGCTACTCTTGATCTCACTAATAAGAGCTCTCTTTAGGATTCTCAAATCTCAATCACCTCACTAGGACCTTACTCTTCTTGGCACTCTCTAAGGTGTTTCTCAGCTGTTGGAATGAGCAAAAGTATCCCCACACATGAATAGAGGTGGTATTTATAACATGGGCTGAAAAATGAACCGTTATGTGTCTCTGCGGGGTGACCGGACGCTCCGGTCATGTTGACCGAACGCTCCGGTCAGTACACCCCAAACTCCAGTGTCAGCACTGACCGGACGCATCCGATCGTGATTTTCCCTCTCTGGAACCTTACTGGAGTCGACCGGACGCTGGCTCTCTTAGCGTCCGGTCACTTCACCTCTCAGCGTCCGGTCGTGCCAGACGATTTTACCTTGGTCAAATGAACTGACCGGACCCTGAGCCAGCGTCCGGTCACACCGAAGCCAGCGTCCGGTCAGTATTTGACCCTCCATTCGCTTTCAACTATTGATCATATGTGAATGAAGTTTGCTCCATTAGATCTAAGGGCTATTTTGGAACTACCTAGTGCTAGTTTTAACAAATGTGCACCACACCTAACTCACTAGGCTCACCTAGATCAAGCTACCCGTCCATACCCCTTAATAGTACGGCCAAAGGAAAAACAAAATCCTAAACTACTCTAAGTGTCTCTTCAACTCCAAACGATACTTAGAACTAGTCCATCATTAACCTTGTCGTCCATCCTTTGAAAACAGAAACGATTTCCATCGTAGGGGCATGACCACCATGATTTCCTAATCGATCTCCATTACCGTGACCTAACTTAATTGCCTCTACAAAACACACGTTAGTCACAATAATCATGTATTATCATTAATCACCGAAACCCAACTAGGGGCCTAGATGCTTTCAATCTCCCCTTTTTGGTGATTGATAACAATACTACCTCGAATATGTGAAAGAGATGAGGTTTTTAACATGTTTGGTTCATATAAGCTTTTGGCAATAAGAACAAAAGTGTTAGGCAAGCTTATATGACCTAAGCCAAGATGATGTACTCAAAAGATATGAAATAAGCATGAATACAAGTAATGAAGCTCATTTATATCGGAGTAAAACGTGGAAGCAAAGGCAAATGAGCATAGCACAAGTGATGTGACATATAAATAATTCAAAGTAGAGAGCACACATGTCATATATCATGATCACATAGATATCACTATCACATAAATATAGTTTAATGCATAAATGTAAACACACGACGAATGCATAATAGTGTATCACACATAAAAACTCTAAATGTAAATAGATAAGCTAATAACTAAGCTCCCCCTAGATATGTCGCTCCCCCTAAGTCTAACATACTCGAACCCTCTCCCCCTTTGGCGTAAAACACAAAAACCTAAGGGTCGGTCGGCGGGGCTGCAGCGGACGAGCCGGGCGCTGAGGTATGAGGAGCGAGCTGGAACTAGGTGCCATCATCATCTGATCCTGAGCTCTGAGCTGTCTGACCCTCTATAGCTAGAAGCGATGCTGAAGCAGTCTGGGTCGGATCAGGAACTAGAGCTGCTGTAGGTTGTGCTGGTATGACTGAAACAGCCGGCTCTGATGATGCCACTAAGGAAGGGAGCGTCTCTGTAGTCCCCGTAATAGGTGCAACTATAGAAGGACCTGTGACATGTAAGTATGGAGGAGTGGGCTGCCCTGTCAACTCACTGAATGAAGCATCAAGGCTCCTGGACACTATAGTCTCTGGCACTAGCAGCGAGGAAGTCTCAGCCGATGTGAAGCCCGTCTAAAGAGGTGTGAACTGCGGGGCTAGCATTGGTGAAGCAAAATACTGGGACACCTACTCTATAGGTGAAGTAAACTGTGCTGGTGGCTGTCCCTGACTCTAAAGCCCACTAGGCTATAATGCTGAAGTCATAGAAGTGGTGTGATCGACCAAGTCAGCTAAGGCGAAGGCTGTGGCAAAGTGGAGCCCCAATAGTTGTCACAACATCTTTGCATAAATCCAAGTAGCTGCTGCTTTGCATGAGGATCTCACTCTTTGATGCATGGCTGCTGCTTTCTTTATAGAACCTATGTCTCCGCCGCTAAATAGCTAGGCTGCTTGTCATTTGGAATTAAATCTGCCGAAGTGCGGAACTATGCAAACGTGGCAGCGGTCTCCTGAGCCTAGCATGCCTGATCCTGCCTCATCCGCTCAAGGATAGCCAGTAGAGCGAGGTCTGTCTACGGTGCAGGTGGAGCTGAACTAGAGCTGCCGGCCTTATGATCATGTCGACGTGCAGGCATCTGAGGAATGTCCCGGTAGTCCTCGTCTGAGCTGTCACTACGGTCGCTCTCGACCATCCCCTCCTACTGAGCAAGCTCCTCCTCCTCTATAGCTGCAATACCCCTAATAATATCATCCTACTGGGCTACAGACTCTGGCACCTCTGGACGACGACGCGGCTGGCTAGGTGCCTATGGTGTACTATGGCGGATCATCTGAGTCAGGTTGTATGTAGGGAACTCTGTAGTAGCACCACTGTACTCAGCTAGCATCTCAGGTGCCCTCACTGTAACTGCCCTGTGAATAAGAAATGTGATCCAATGGGCATAGGACAACTGTCGATGACCTCTGACCCCCTCAGCAATAGTATCCTCCATCTCTGATAGAAGGAGATCCTAAATGTCAAACACTGTCTGCTGCATCAGAGAGTTGAGAAGCCATAGTTGTAAGCGAGTGAAGCCCTCGCGATACCCCATCCTCGTAATCAGGGTCCTCCTCATAATAGCATCTAGCACTCTAGCTGTAGGAGTGAGATCACTGGGAGTCCTGCTCGACCCCTCGCCAAAAGGCTCCTTGAAGCAATGGCGGACAAGATCTGTAGGAGGTATCATACCGCCATGAGGGCGTCTAGGAGGCGCTGTCTGTCCATAGCAAACCTCATATAGCCTGACAGGCTGCTCCTGAAGCCTGAGAATCTCCCTGACCCTAGTGTTCGTCAACCTGTAATCTCTGCCTCTGAATGCAAAGTGAATATAATTGTGCTACGGGTCAATCTAGAGAGTAGCATAGAACTAACGGACCCAAGATGGAACATACAAGCTTGTTCATCCAAGTAAATCTGTTAGCCCTAGTAAGTAAGATAGGTACTAGCGAATGTGCTCTCTAGCTGCTACAACTATAGAATCAATGTGGCACACCCTCTTAGACCTGAATACAGCACCACTGTTAAGATATGCATTATAGAAATCCTTCTGCAGTGGTGTGTAGAAGCCCTCTGAAGCTCTGTCATCCCTCCTCGCGGGAACCACTGCTCAAAGTCCACAAACCTTAGCTGCTGCACCTGCTTGGCCGTGGCGGCTGTAACACCTCGGGTGTTTTAAATACTAAAACCTGCCATGTCATCATATGCATTGCAAAGCATTTGGCCTTAGTGAAAACTTTGATATGCATACATTAAAACAAGTTTACATTTATGTTATATGTGTTGCCTTGTATGGTTGAATCAATTTCAAAACAATTGTGTTGATTTGGATTTCCGAAAACCC